GGAGGGTTGCGCTGACTAGCACCGTGCTCCTAGAATACGGCGAAAAATTACATGACAACGAAACGCCTGCTCACTTGTTTAATCAAGCACCAATTCGATGTTACGAGTTGCGACATGTTTTTATAATCTTTATTTAATGAGGAATATGAGCATATGCATGAAAAGTTCGAAAAATAATCCAAAGGTATGATTTTTGAATGAAAAACAAAATATGTTAATATGCCACTTGTCTCGGAGATTTGACTCGGCAAATCATAGCCTTACAAAGTGAGTTACACGGTGTTACGTGTGGAAACACATATGAAAATATTATCCCATAAATTCTGCATTGGAATCAACTCGTATCTTTTCCCTAATTTTGCCCAAACAGCTACTACGAGACGATGTCGCGTGGGTCCCAGCGTTCCGCCGCGCTGCCCGGAGGCGCGGCGCGGTCAGCTGACTGCGGCAAACTCGTGCTAGGAGGGGCAAAGCCCCCACAGTGCGCCGCCGGCAACCAGCTTGAAAACCCGCCGAGGAGCACGAGTGTGGCCGTATCATGACCACGGGCATCGACATCATGTCGGTCTGTGCTTGGAGCGATAAAAGAAGAAAGTAAATATACAGTTATCATTAAAGGGACCCTCCCACGAGGTCTGCACCGGCCGGCTGCAGCCGCGGCTGGCTGCAGCCCCACGGCTGTGGGCGGCTGCAAATATCTCCAAGAACACGGCTACGTCTGTGGCCACGGCTGTGAGATTTCAAGCTCAATCTTAAGAACTCGAATATAAAATTTTAAATCCTTAATCTTACATCCTGATAAACAGTCTAGCCTGTAAAAATCATGCAAAGGATGCCCAGCAACATTGAAAGTGTTGAAGCTTTTGGAAACCCGTAATGATTTTATCATTTGCATCATAAGTAGGGGAGTGTGCACTCTGGTACAGAATACTAATTATAGGTACCAATTGTTCCTTCATCATCATGAGCTTGACAGCTTCAGAAAATGCACCATGTTGCATTGACACATCCCTTTCAAATCAATCTTACCTGGTCATTAGGAGAGCACCTTACAGCTATTGAAGACAAGCGTTCACGGTTCAATAATTCTTTCAGGTAATAAAAAAGGAATAACGCCTAGGTAAAGGCAGATAAAGGCTTCATAAAATATTATCTAAAATAACAGAGATGTATTTCTGGATTTTCGGCAAGTCCAATTACATAATACAAAACTGGCCCTTTTATGTTCTAACTGGTATGTGAGTAAACGCTAATAGAAAATGCTGATCAATGAAGCCAATGGAATTAGATTATAAGGGAGCGTAAACCTTACTTAGGGTTCATTCACATGACGTTGAAACCCAGAACACGACATTTCTTACGCTAGTTGTTGACTTTACTAATAAAATGACGTCTCTTTCTAAAAATGTCAAAATTTGATATTTATTTATCTTTATTTGAGAGCAAGTATTTAACTGTACAACCTTATTATAAAATAATAATAATTTTTCATGGCTGTTTGTAGAGACACAAAAAATCGCTACTTCTTTGCTACTGACGTCATTAAAAATTCAGATAAACTTTTAGATTGAAAGAGGCAATTGTGGCTCGCACGTCCTTGGTGATTTGAGCGCAGCATGAAGAAAAATGAAAAGCAAATTTGAAAAATCAAAATAGATGAATCTTTTTCTTTCATGGATGCTCACTAGTGTTGTGATGCCTTGCATATCAAATTAGCTTGAGACTTGCTCAGAAGGCTGCTTCAAGCCTGGCATATCACACCCAAGAAAATATGCAAGGTAAGAAAGAAGCAAGATTTTTGACTATCAGGACAATCACTGTTTGACAGTTCATCAACTTCAGTTTCATTTCCCATAACATTGATAATGAAAAGTATCAAGGTCTTGTTCTGTCCCACAACCATGCTTCAGGATTTGGCATTAGATGTCTACAATGCTACTATTCTGGTTCGTTGTTTATGTTTTCTTCTGTTCATGTAGGTACGTATCTACCCATCTTTCTTAACCCCTTGCAAGGGCTTGTGTAGGCATGCTTCATGAGCTTGAGAATCTATAGGCCATTGCAATGTGCTTTTGATAATATGTTTTAACTAAAAGTAAAAACAACTTGTTACATATATACTATTTGGTTGCATTTCACTGAAAGTATCCACGGCCGGCTGACGGCTGGCTGCCCACAGTTTGCCACGGCTGTGGGCGGCTGTGGCTGTGGAGCCACGGCTGCGGGGCAGCTAGGCTGTGGAAAATTGCAGTCGTGCAGAACTCTACCTCCCACCTTCAAAAAAATTAACACGCGCCCTGGTGGGGGGGGGCTATTATTTGCCCCCCTCCAGACTTTTCGATATATCTCCAGAACTGCTGCGCCGATCGTCACCAAACTTTCAGTACCCTCTCGGACATCAATTTTACACATTGTGACCAAAATTTTTTCCAAAGGCTATGATAGGTTGGCCGGAAATGACGTCAGAGTGACGTCATGTTCTGCCGTTTTGGACCCCAAAAAAGGGTTTCGCAGGAAGAGCTGTCAGGCCTATAGCTTTGCAAATACAGAAAAACGATTAAGACTTGAAAGCTGTAGAATTGCCAGGGCTACAAAACTGCTATCTCGGATTTTTGAAATTTTTGGATTTCGACCCCGAAAATAAAAAATAGATTTTTTGAATATGATAGCCGAAAAATTCAAAACGTTTTTGGAATTTCGCAAAAACCGGAACATATGTGATAGTCCTTACCGTCTTCTATCCACATACCAAATTTGAGATTGATACCTCTTTTTTTGGCGAAGTTATAGCGAAAAAACTGTTCAAAATTGATGACGTCAAATTTTTAAACTCAATTTTTTAGCAATTCTAGACCCCGTAGCGCAAAACAAAGACCACCATTAGATTCCCCGCGACGAGCTGCATCGAATCAATACCCTCTTTATGCAAAACTATCAACTTTAAAAGTTGACCTTTCTTGACCTGACCTTGACCTGACCTTCACCAGAAAGTGACCTAGGCCGTACCTGATGGTCTTATAACCAACACCATTGAGTTGAAAATGAAAAGTTGGCCATAAAACATGCATCGCACAACCTTAGTACCTAAAGTTAGGTTCATGTGACCTGACCTGTGACCCTTGGTGACCTGACCTGTGACCTGACCTGGTATTGTCAGTGACCTCTGATAGCAACATATGTACTAGGCAACTGACGCCCTATCGCTGATTCTCGACAAAATGCGTTTTCTTCGGTGTTATAGCGCATTCCCTAGATGACCCGTGAACGGTGAAACATGTCATCTTTGACCTGACCTGTGACGTCATCGGTGACCCCTAGGTCAATGAAATTTGGTTTCCTTCGACAAATTTGACAGGCCTTTCGAACGCCGTTTGAATTTAGCGGATCCGTCAAGTAGTTTCGGAGATACGAGGGGGGGGGGGCAAAAAATAGTCCCCCCCACCAGGTCGCGTTATAAACAGACCCCACCAGGGCGCGGGTTAATGAATTGGCATGAAAGTGATGTCGCTCTGTTCAGAAAGAGCAAAAGCGAATATCTACCAAATTCCATAGAAAAATATTCACCGGTTTTCAAGATATTGGACTTTAACTTTTGTTTACTTTTTGGGATCTCCGCGGTTCCTAGCGACTTTATTTGAAAGTGCGGCACTTGTTGCGCGGAAAGCAGCGTATGCCACCGCGTGCTACCAAACGTTTTAGTCAAAGATTTAAAAATCATTAGATCTCCGCTGACGTCACAAATTCTAAGGGGGCATTCCAATGCATTAGCCCCTTAGAATCCGAAAATTGCAAGTTTGAAATTCCATTTCTCCGAATTAAAACATTTTTCAATGTTGTGAGTGCCCAACCCGGTATTTACAGGCCATGGCCACCAATTTGGCTATCTCAATTCAAAACTAATGTTAAGGTGGGATGGTCACTTTAAGTCTTGACACTGGATAGTAGAAGTTATAACGCGAATACAAAATACCTGCCTACTAAATTATGACATATTTTGAAAGTTGTAAGAGCAATTCAAGTAAGAAGTAGTAGCTTCTTGCAATGCAAGTAAGAGCTTTTCAGAACAAAAACAAGATCTGTGAAAAAAACCTTATTTTTTATCACTGGAAGCGAATTTTGCCGTGGGGCAACCGGGTTAAAAACAACTGAAAAGTGATAGCACGTATTTTAAACTTCAGTTAACTTTCCGGAGTCGGAGTCGAGGCAGCTGGACCGACTCCGACTCCGACTCCTGGCTGCTTGCCACGAGTCCGGGCGACTCCGACTCCGACTCCGACTCCGAAACCCTGAGTCACTCCGCTATCAGTCACACTATCAGTCACTCCGCTAATACAAATTGTTGAAATTAAGCATTAAATTAAGCATTAAATGCCGTCAAATTGATGCTTGAATTTTATGTCTTCGTGAAAAATCGTGATACTTTTAGGGCACCGTTGGCTTAATTGGGCCTGTAGCGCTGAAACATAACCTTTTTTTCCTTCGTGAATTAATTTCATAGCACAATCGGTGGTGATCCGGCAAGACAAAAGTTGAGATATTATTTACTTCCTGCCGGACCGGAAAAACTGGCTTTCAGGCCTGCCGGACCGGTCAAAAGAAGTTGCGAGATTGGCCGGTTCACACCAGTTTTCAATTTTCCGACCCGGAAATGACCATTTTTCCGGTCCGGCAGACGGAATTTTGCCGGACCGGAGTCCGGTGTGAACCCGGCATTAGACGAAAAAAAAAACAATTATATACAGGTGTCCGGTCGGATGGGGTTCTTCTAAAAGTTATTTTGGACAATGGGATGGGACTCTGTGGGACGGGGCCCATTTTGAGAACTGCCCAAATAAAGTCCAAACGCCGATGAACACTGCAATCCGGGCGTGCTAAACCACCTTAGCATCATCAATGGGGGCCCGTACTGGCAACTGCATTAGAAGCTCAGCTGAGCGGCTGTGGTGTAGTGTGCGGCGGCCGTTGCGTTCTTCTGACGCCTGGTGTGTGCTGTGCGGCAGCTGCTGATCGGCTACCTGGGAGACCATCGCTGGGTGTCCGACGCAGCGCTCTATGTGGCCTGTATGCTCTGCTCCGGCGGCGCCATGGCACTGGTTCCCTCCTGCCACTCGTACTCAGCACTGGTCGCGGTGAGAGGGAGGAGGGAGAGGGAGGAGAGAGAGGGAGGAGGGAGAGAGAGAATATGAGTGTGTAAACTGTATATTAGGGGTTTGCATTGAAACTCTTTACGATTTTTCTTTGCTCCTTTATGTACGGTCGAAGGCCGGCTGTATAACCCTCGCCCTGGCAGGGGGTCGATGCGACCCCCCTAAGGTTTTTCGAAGATAGCGTAAAAACGGGCGCCGCCAAATTTTGCACAGCCTATGGGGCAACCTTTTTACATATGACCTGAAAATTTCAGGTCCGAGTGACCTAGGGTCAGGTCACCAGGTCAGAAAAACCGGTACAAGGTCATGGTCAAATTTCAATTTTCTTTTTGCACCTGTCCAACTCACAGTTTTGGACTGATTTCCTTCAAACTTTCAGGATGTGCTAAGTTCACCGAGTTGTATAACATATAGTTCGGGTTTTTTGAGGTCACTGACCTGAGGTCAGTTAGAGGTCATTACGTCGTAATGTTAAGCCTATGGGAAAATACTAAATTCGGAAAATACTGGAGATATCCGCTTCGTTCAATCACTTTAACCACAGTACTTAACAGCAGTTCACTTGGTGCTTCTTTGTTTGGTGTACTTATCCATGGGTCAGGTCAAATGAGGTCAACTGAGGTCAAATGACGTTTTTGCCAATAACTTGGCACATAATGACGCTAGAGCTTCGAAAATGGTATCATGGTGTTCCTGGTGATCAGCCGAATCGAATGATATGCGATATGATGCAATTTGGTTAACTTGAACTTAATTTATTAATTTAAGTTTACTTAAAATTTAAGAAAAACTTTAAGTACACTTAACCCGCGCCGGGCCGGTGCTCTGAGATTCCGCGCCGGGCCGGGGGTGTCTGAACACCCCCCCCCCTTCTAACTCGGCTCCTGGGCCACGTAGCGACACGCGGTAAGCGGCAATCGAAAGAACGTCCAAAATAAGGACGAAAACACTTCGGTCATTTTTTGGGTCAGGTCAAAGGTCAGGTCACCAGAGGTCACCAAAGGTCAAATGTCTACTATTTCAACATTTTGGAAACTGCCAACGGCTATCTCGGGAACCGATAGAGCTAGGGGAGAGCGGGGCCAGTTGAAACACGGGGTCAGATGAAACATGGCTTTATTTTCAACAGTATGCAACATATGGCGTTGCCGACACCACTGCGCATCCGCGCTCGACCACTTCCTTTGTCAACGGCGTTTGGGCGGCAAACGGACGGTAATTTTGATTTGACACTTGTTTTTGTGTTTTTGAGGGGCGTTTGGGAGAAATCGTTTTTATGAATATTTTGTGATATCTCATATACCTTTGTTTGCTGAAAGAAGAACTCCTGGCTCCGGAATAATACCTTATTTGGCCCTTCATTCAGCATGATACCGTCCCTCCAGCTCGTTTGACATGTGCTTTACGGCGCGTGCGAGATGGCGGGAGCGGATGGGGTCAATTGAAACGCTTCTCTGAGGGTCAGTTGAAACAGGGCCACAATCCGTTTCAATGGACCCCGGTGACCTTTGCAATGGTTATTGTTCAGGGACTGTAAACATTAAAGGAAATAGTCCACCTTTGAAATGAGCTTTTAAACTGAAATAGTAGTTTAATAGAGCTCAATTTTTGACCCCTTTTTCTCCAGCCTTTCGCTTGAAAGCACACTATAGCCTGAGATATTTCTCATTTTCCTCATCCGCCCATTTTACCATAGTCTATGTACTTTATGTCACCTATTATGAGGAACTTTGCACTTTTAGCTTTCCAACGACCTATTGAATGTAGCATTTGAAAAAGTAAACCGGACAAAATATCTCCTTAAAAAAGTGGCCTTAAAGAGGAAAATATCCCATTGTTAAGGATAGGTGCAATTGACCCCATGGGCTGGTTCAATTGACCCTCGCATCGGGGTCATTTGAAACGGGCGTAGAGCTGTTTTATAAGCATGCGTTTGGCAGCAAAATATGTTTGAAACATAATTTTACATATATTAAAATAAAGCCAAAAGAGCAAATTTTCTCATGGTATTGTGCATTTTTCGATATGACAACTAGATCTCGCTGTGCATGTCAATATATAAAAAGTGGTTCAACTGGCCCCGCTCTCCCCTACAGCGCCGCGGAAAAGCGCATTCGATAGCCCTTTTACAGACCTTTCTGAGTAATGTTCTCAGATTTGACCTCAGGTCAACGGTTTAGCCTCCAGAGGGCAAAAGCTCCAAAAATAGCCGTTTTTACGAAAAACGTTTTTTCGGCAATAACTTTTGACTCTAAAGAGCCACGACATTACTTTTGACACCATCGTGTTCCTCTCGTCGAGACGCGTCGAATGAACTATAATTTGACCTTAAAAGGTCAACTTGAAAATTTGACCTCAGGTCAAGGTCATGACCTGACCGGAAAAGGTCATGTTGCACATCAGTCGATCCGCAACGTTGAGCCGAACACATCTAAGGCGTTTTCAGCGTTCTAGCACGTCTCTATCAGAAGTTATTAGCGAAAAACTGTTAGATTCTGTTCGTGACCTGAGATGACCTCGGGGACGTAACGAGGGGTCACGGTTGCCATTTTCCGGTTCAGTGTGTCCATTTTACCTACATCTCGATGTTTGAGAGTGTCTAGAATAGCGTTCGTGCAAAACAGACGCTTTTCAATTTTCTCCCATTGACTTATAATGGAGAGGTCGCAAAATTGACCTGACCTTAGGTCACCGATATCAAAATTCCGAGATACACATTTTATAGATAATGTTGCTCTAATCAATCGCTGAAAGTTTCAAGGCAATCGATCAATCGGTGTAGCTATGACGAGCATTCTTATTTTTTCTGAGGTGAGGTCACTTGGCGTGATCTGGTGACCTGACCTAAGGTGACCTGGGTCTGAAATTTTCACAACATGTGCGGAAAAGATGCACGAACAGGTGTGCCAAAAACGGCGGCGCTCCGCGCCGCCGTTTTTGAGATATCTGCGAAAAACCGCAGGGGGGGGTGTTCAAACACCCCCCCGGCCCGGCGCGGGTTAAGCAAGCTAAAAAGTATATCATTCGACGCGCCTTGACGTGCTGAGTTCACTGGTGCTTTTCGTTTTGTTCTATCTTAATTAGATCAAAAGTTATAAGCGAAAAACTTTTGACCTGTTTTTAGCGAAATTTTTACATTTATACCCCCCAAACCCCCTAAATATTGACCTAGAGCAACCAAATTTGCACAGGGGCGAAAACTCCAGAGGGCCCACCTACCTACCAAATTTGGTGTTTCTAGGTGCCATAAGAGCCAATCGCGAGGGGGGGTCGCATCGACCCCCCCCCCCCCTGCCAGGCCGTGTTATGAAAAATGCCCTGCCAGGGCGAGGGATAAGAAACTTTCGAGAAATAAACTGTGGGCTCAGTTTCTGGCGATCAAGTCACCACATAGCCGTCTCACACTGGTCGGAAACGCTCCAGCGAGAGGCCAGCGGCCTTTCCGCAAAAGTTTTTTGCTTGTTATTCCACAACTAGTGAAGCAAACTTCATAAAACTTTGCATACCTTCTCTGTCATATGTAATCTACCATTTGGATGTCAAGCACTAAATATATGACGTGAATCTGTTAAGATATGACGTCATAATGAGTATAATACAGGATCTAGCACCACTAGATCCTGTCAACAAGGGAAATTGGGAGCTGCTATTTGGGCACCGGGAATGGTTTCATGCACTCCTTGCAAGGTCCAGTGCTTCACTTTAGCATTTTTGACTTTGCGTGACGTCATTTATGACGTCACTAAGGCCATATAAGTTTTTCGTCAACAACTCCTGATCAGATGGAACTAGAGAGTCGCGAAAGCCACCATTGGACTCAGGAAGACCTGCCGAATCGAATGATATGCGATATGACCTCCTTCAACCATTTTCGTGACCTGAGGGGCTCCGACCTGACCTTGACCCGAGATTAACACCTTAAGTTGACTTCACCCGAACACCAAGTAAAGCATTCAACGCGCCTGAGCTATTGTCAAAAATGGTCGGCAGTGCGACCATTTTTGGCAAAGTAATTAACCTAAAACCAAGCCCGTGCATTGTGGCACTTACCTGACCTAAGAGGTCACTGGCTGACCTAAGACCTTAAAATCGGGTAGTACCTAATTGTTGCGTCTTATAACGGCACACAAGCTCGTTTCTTTCCGCAAGGCTCTAGCTCAATTAGAGGCGAAATGGCGAGGGAGTTGTACCAACCCTCCCCGGTCAATATAGAAAACCAATCGGTCCGGCCAGGGTTAAATACCGGAATTGTGATCTAATGTAAAAAGACGGCCCAAGGTAACCCGACGTCAGTGACAGGTGTCCTATATTTGCAGCGTCTTATATTCACGAAGGTTTCTGTCGCCACGATGTCCTCTGGTTTACATGCACTGACGACACTCGTGTTTTGAGACTGGCTGAGGGGGATTAGGAGGTCGAAATTGGGATAGGATTGGTGAGGAAGGCGACAGTCGCTGCCTGATCAAGGCTCCTCAGTGGCGAGGGCGCCGTGAGCAGACAGATCTACCGATACTTCGACGCCTCGATAGCGAGGTTGGCCGAAGCCGACTGGCCGCGCCCCTTGTATGGAAAGAGGCCCCTTTCCCCGGTCTCGATGGCGAAACGCGGGAAAAGAGTTAAGCCCTCGGTTTTCGCTGGCGAAACACCGGTGGCCGCCCCCTCACACACCCCAACGAGGTGAGAAAAGCCGAGGTCCCCGGAAGTAGGACGGGTCACAGTAACACGCTTTTGTGGCCTGCCGTCAGTCCTCGCACTTCCGTCACTTCCGTCTCTCACTTCTCTCACAGCCACTGAGTTCAACCACTGGATATTTATTGTCACTTCTCACAATTCACTCCAGAATCCAGCTTCACTCCGTACCCCCAACAGACCGCGTTACACGCACACATAGACTGAACCCGCCTACGACTCACCCGCCCGAGATCAGCTCGCTGGTGCCCCGCGGCGCGGGACACCAGCGACCAATCAGCGCGCTCCCCGCG